TGGCTCAGACTTTTACTGGAACACGTGCACAAATATGTTGTTTGGATATTTTTACGGCCATTAACTTTTCCATATATAACCCAGACCTCCCATTAGGTGTTGTGAACTGGATCGCCTCTTTACTTGCCAAGTTATATTTCAATTAAATTAAAGTCACCTTTGGTCCTAATGAACCCTTGTTGTTTGCCTAATGCCATGATTAATTCCAGCTGCAAGAAGTGGTATTGGCCTGGGTGGGTACTGTGCTGAAGATGCTGTTTCTCCTCTGAGATTTATGGGTGCTGGAGAAGGCTTCATAACTCATTCCTGAGTATATTATGATCCAGGCTGTAAACAGACTTGATTTGTGCCCTCAAAAAGATGGTTACAATAGGAAATACTCCTGCACTTGCCTGCAGCCTGGGATGTTATGAACTAGGAATCTCCTTAAGAGTGTTCCTGCAGTTAGAAAGTTAACATTTATTTGAACGCTGATGCCCATCACTTATCTTGCAGAACTCAGCAGACAGAGAGATGGCCCCAAAACCTTGAACAGTCACATGGTGATAATAGCAAAACCAGAAGGGATGGCAGCCTCCATCCATACCCTACAGAAGTAAAGGATTAACTTGGACCTTTCTACAACACTAAACCAACGGAACCCAAAAGAGAAAGGCATACAGAGATCATATTTTTTCCATGCTCTGAAGTGTTGGACTCTGATTCCAGGGCTTAAGATTTATTCTCAACCAAGGAATGACTACCTAACATTGAAAAGCAGCCCTGGAAGCAAAGTCATGGGCCACTCCAGATTTCTCACACGTACATCTAGCCATTAAGAGATGCAGAATAGAACTGCTCTCAATATCCATGACTCATGATTCAGTGTCATTAGGATGGTCTTAGAGATCTTCAGGAGATGCAAACATGAGAAAGATAGCTGTAATCTAGAAGCCACCAATGGCACACAGTCTCAGCTTTGCCAGAAGGGTGCTGCATCCAGATTTCTGGTGCCCCAGCACTTCATCTTTCTGAATAACTTCCTACAGGGTTAAGGCTTCCATGATCAGACACTGATGAGCCTGTCCTTCACAGCGATCTAGTCACCCTTCCACTAAAACTTACAATCATTTCATCAAAAGGCAGAGTTTCACCATCTTGTTACCTGCGGTGTAGCAAAGGCAGGTGCTTGCTGTGGCACAGCACTATGCTGGAGGACTTTTATCAGCTCTGCAAACAGTACCTGAATTCTGACTATACCATTGCATGAGATTCCGTTAGCCCAGAAAATAAAGCACAGTTCAGAGCAGAATAAGAAGAGACTTCACCACAGAAAATTAATAATGAAGAAATAAAACAACCCAACAACAAAACGCTTTAGGATTGTATCTGTGTGAGATGATACTTGCTGCTGACATCCAAAGCAGGATCAATTCTTAGGAAAATCCTCCTAAATTTAAGCCCAGATAGAATAGTTCAAATTGAATTTAATGCAGAGAGAATAAGGCCCAGAATTTGAGTGTCCAGAGTAGACCAGACAAATGTCCATTAGTCCAAGATTCAGAATAGTCTTCATGCAACATTCAATACAAACCCGTCTAAGTGCAATAAAAGTAGTTGTATAATCACCAAAGTCAGTTCCCACGACTTCCCTGGCATCTGCCTCACCTAAACTAGGATTGCATTTGAGCAAGAGCAAAAAAAAAAAAAAACGAGGAAAAAAACAGAGCCAAACCATGGTACATATAACTCTGAAAAAGAAATACAGAGGTTCAATAGGATTCAGACAAACCCAAGAAAAACCATTACAGTGTGGAAAGTATTTGCCATTAAAACATTTTTCATTAAAAGTGGCATTTCTAAACCTTCTAGCCTGCTGAAAAGCAATACCAGCTTCACGTCAGAAAGTCTGTATGAAAAATTTCCATTACTATAATTAACTTCTAAGCTGAGGTTGTATTGTTCCCCTTTTGCAGGGAATCTCAGCAACATTTCCAAGGTTTAAAGGCAGCCAAAAAGGTGTCCCATCCCATTTTCAGGAGAAACTTGTGTTCACAAGGCATCAAGGAGAGCTTTAAGCTACACAGGATTATTCTGTGTTCCTTAATTATTAGTTACAAGTTACTCTGCCCCACTGAAACCATATGAGAATAAATTTGATGCTGGAGCAGCTAGCAAGTGCCCTGTTGGTCAACAGCTGCCACAGGATCACAACAGACTCAGAAGTAATGCAAGAACCAGACCTGCACAGCACGCTGCTCCTCTTGATGCACTTTTGTCTGCAAACTTCATTACTGAATTGCAAAGTGTGATGTGAAAAGCCTACAGAATAGAGAGGCCTCCAGAGGGAAACTGAAAGGATACTCAAGACACTCCAGCAAACCACACACCCCCAGTTTCTAACAGCTTGGTTTCAACCCTGCCGTTTCTCCAGCAGAGACCCTCATTCATGGATTGGTGCCATACAAACCTCTCATGCTAACAAAGCCACGTCAAGCTCATCTTGCTAAGGTGAGCACATTTATAAAGACATTTAACTCTTCTCATCCTTACAAGGTGAGGATAAAAACCCTGATGCAAGCTTTGTTGATTTCTCCATTTCCCCTAGAAATACTGGACACATTTAGATCCCTTGATCTATCATTATTGAACTTCAGACAGAACTACTGTGAATTAGGTGGGAAAGAGGTAGAAGAAGAGAATAAAAAGAAAGCAAGCCTGGTTTCTCTTAAGGGATGTGAACTAATTTCCGTGCCCCACAGACATGAAAATACAGCCAGCTGACCACAGACAGCTCAGAAACAGATGCATCTTGTAGATACTCTTGCCCAGAAAATCATTAGAGATTAGGGAATAAGACACAGCTTGGCACAAGGATATAGAAGATGTAAAGGTTGCAATGATATTTCACTGGACTCATTGTTCAGGAAAGCCTTATTTCTCTTTGCTAAAACAAAATTGCCTTACAGTTCAGGTCAGAAGCAGCCTTACAGTTTAAGCTGGATATTTTCAGAGCAGAGCTCTGGAGCTCACATGCCAAGAGCTGGTCAAGAGATTACAAGGCAGCTGGTTTCATTCCCAGCAGAAGACATCCTGCCTAGATACAAGGCATCATCTCAGCTCTTCCGCTCCAAAACCAAGTGCACCAGAAATGCTCTTGTCCCCACTCTGCCAGACCCCACAACACCAAATCTAATGCTGCCTTCGGAATCAAAGCAAAGCCAACTTAAGCAGTGCCCATTTTTGTGGGCTCTGGTCTCCAGGATCTAGAGCTGAAGTTGCCAAGGATGAATTCTCCTTATAAAAGCCATGTCCTGTTTTGCTTCTGAATCTTGGCCCAGCAAAACTTGATCTTTGGCACATCTCCCCTCTCTCTACCACTTAAATATCACTGACACATGTAATTAACACCAGGTTGAACACAACCACTCCAGCATTTTAAGGAGTCTGGTTTCAGCTCTTTGATTGTGCCAAAGATGAGTAACAGACACCAGGACAGAGCAGGGTCAAGGAATATCTGCTGAAAGTTTTTCGCTCTATCAGTGAGAGATCCACATTTTAATAATTAATTTTAAAAAAAGATTTTAGGACTACTGCCTCTGGTGGTGTACAACCTACTGAGAACACAGGAAAATAGCCTTAAGTGATCTCCCCAGCCATCTAAAACTTAGACCTAAAGCTGAACAGTTAAGATCCCAACAACTCACCAAGGAGATAGATCAGTCAAAGAAATAATCAGATCCCAATTTCTCCCCATGAAATATCTCCATTCCTTCTCAAACCAATGCCAGTACCACATCCAGAGTCCTGGAAAAGCCACCGAGTGATGTTGTCAGACAATGAAGTAACGTAGAGTTCACAACATTATATGCACTCCCCAGTGTTTGGTAGCCCCAGATTGAAACCGTTTTGCTTTCTAAGACACCCAACTCAAAGATCATCTGGTGAAGTTCCCAGCTGATTGGAAAAGCGCATTAGATGACAAGCACAGTTTCTACTCTGCTTACAGTTGAGCCCATTCAGGAGACACTCCTACAAATCACAGAAGCTGCAACACATCCTTCCCTCAAGAAATTTTTCAGCTTAGTTTCACAGAGCTGAAAGACCCAGTTTGTTGAGTTAGTGTTTAATTATTCTTCCAGCTACAGCTGATCTCTACAGCTTGTTCACCACTCTGAGAAACAGCTGTAGCAAATTACCCCCCCCACCCATCCTAGGGCAACATGGTAGAATAGGAAACAAACTCAGACTTCAAAAATGTTTCATGCACTGCTGGAACACATCTTCTCCCACCATAGAAAACTGCAAAGAAATTCAACAAATGTTGCTCAGTAGGTTTATTTCCAGCAAAGCCTCAGATTCTGTTGTTTTAATGATTCCATAAGCTTGCACTACTAAGTGGGGCAATTTAGCAGGCAACATAGTAAACGTATCTAGTCCCTTAGCTCCAGAAAGCCTTTGAATGCCATGACTGAAAGGTCTACACAACAAAATGACACTTATCTGCAGCAAACAATTCACAGCCCAGTAAGTTGCTTGAACAAAAGAAATGCACAAAGAGCTCTTTTAAAACACCAGTGCTAAAAGTAGGGGCAACTGCCATCCACGTCACAACTGTGATCAAATCTAGAGGACACTCATTCATCAAACAGAGAAAACGAGCCCTAAGCAGCATTGCAAAGAACTCAGCCAGATGAAGTTGTGAGACAACACAGGAGAACTAAGGTCAAACAGGAAAACATTGTCACAAGTATTACAGAAAAGCCATGACAGTAAGTATATTGCAACAACTAACTTCAGATTCACCTCTCCAAGAACAGAAATATTTCCTCACTTCTGAATCCATGACAAACAGACATTTTCCCCAAGGTTTCCTGAAGACAACATTGCCCAAGCTGTTCTATCCTTCCTCTCTTGAGCTTAGGACCTAGCTGATGTTACCAGTCACACTTGCCACAAAATGCTGGCTGCTTGCCATAGCTGTTGGAGCTTTTCTTTTACTAACAATAAACCACCCTTACCTTGTAAACCAGGTGTAAGTTATGTCCTGTTTGAACAGGGATCCCACCTGCTGGCAGCCTAGAACCTGGGCAAAAAAAAAAAAAAAAGGGAGTCAAGTTGCAAGCTGCCCAACTGCTCCATTCCACCCACCCTCTGACTACCGAGCTCAGTCACTAACATCTTTCTAAAGAAAGTTCTGGTGGATACATGAAAGATGGACCACCCCAGCAACAGAGGTTAAAAGCTGCAGCCAACGCCTTTGCAAATGGGTAAAGGAATCCAGGGTAGGTTCTTGTCCTTCTCAAATGACATCCCAGATGGATCCTGCTCCTGCAGATGGGGGTTCTTCAGGCTGATTCTATTAGCTAACACCTTTCACCTGGGATACTCATAACTAAGCCTAAAATGGATCTACTGGCAGCGCTCACCCCTTGCTGTCATATTGCTGGCACCTAGCCCTACCCCTGAGCAATAAAGCAGCTAAAAAGAAAAGGAAAATTATGGGATGGACACTAGAAACAGCAATAGACTCCTGCTACAGTTTCAGACCCTTCATTTGCAAATCAGTTCTGGCTGACAGCATGGCAATTGGGCCACAAAAGTCTGCCGTCTCCAAGGAAAGAGACAAATTACAGCCCTGTTCCCATTGCTTACTTTTTTACATTCAGCACTAAAAGCTTTATGCAGACAATGGTTATTTCATCACTGACTCGCAGCACAGGAGGTTTGGAGGTTCATTAGGAGAAAGGAGGCTTGGCTTTTGCTCTGCCTAAGAAAAAAAAGATGAACGTTGGAGCCTTCAGAAAGTAATGGAAAGATCTCTGAGCACACGGGATGAATGCAGTTTAAGACTCTGTAGCAGTTGGACACGTCAACACAATGGGAAAGCATTACAACAAAGGCATGATGATGGAAGGACTAGCACGATACAAAGGTGCTACAAAGAAAGGGAAGAAGACTGCTTACCCATATCAGGTGATTCCAGCTTCACAGAGGAAAGCTTCACCAAGGAAGGATCTCCAAGAAAAGATCCTTCCCCAGTGGCAGTCAGCCCTTAAATGGGATCTAAGAGAGGTGCAGCCAGGCTCCACCCCTTCTGATCACACAGCTGAATTGCCTTCACCTGTGCTCCCAGGGCTGACCCCTGCTCCTTTCCCCAGGTGCTCAATTAGTGGTTCAGGCTGTGACTCAGCAGCTCCCATACAGACTCTTGAGAAAGACTGAAGGTATGTTGCCAAAATTAGTTTTAAAAAGCAAAAGTCCCATTTCACCAAAACAACACTTTTATCCCGTGTATTTCACAGAGGAACAACACCTACTCTTGGAAGTAACTGTTTTGTAAATAGTTTTATCAAGCAGACTAGGGCAGATGGACTGGTTTTCTAGGACTGCCTTTTTTTCTTCTGTTTATCCTACCATCTCAATATGGAGAAGGAAGAAACACTGGCTACACACAAAAAGCTCAGTTCATGCCTTTTTTTCTCCCCATTAAAAATAGCTTCAGAAAGCGAATAAAACATTTTTCCTTCCATAAATACTCAGATTTTTCCAAAACAAAGTTAAAAACCAATCAAACCTCCAACAGCCTCACCTCATTATTAACCTGTCTCTCTACAGCTGGGGCTCTACATTTAAAACCCTTCTAACAGAGGCATAACAAATGAATACTGCGCTCATTTATTGTTCTTTGCTCACTCAAGATTTCTGCTTCCCAGCTAAAACATCAGTCTGGACCCACAGCATCAGGAGAACTGGATCCAACATCAGGATCCCTAATCTCAAAGCCTCCTTTATGATTACAGTCAATAAATGTAGCTCCTCTGAATATCACAGAGGGTTTTTTTTGTTTTGTTTTGTTTTGTTTTATTGTTTCATTTTTGTTTTTTATTATTGCTTTCCTGATTTGAGATGAAAATTGGAGAGGAACTCATGCAGAAATTGCCACTGACTTTTAACCCCTATTCTCCCCCCTCAAACAGGACACACACCTCCTTCCTCCCCATTGCTGTAGAGCAAAGCTCCAGTTAAGAGGGGCAGAGGGTTATATATGGGAAAGCCACCTGTGGGTGGGGATTATTTGACTGGGTGTGTTAACTCAGGAGGGTGGCTCCCTAGCTTGAGTTTGTTAAATTATCTTTAAATGCATGGTCCCAGCGAGCGGCATCTACTGCTTCTGCATTAAAATTAAAGCAATACTTGGCCTAATTGCTACCTCCCAGTTAGTGGTGACCTCTTGGCCAGTACATTCATCTCAACAGTGTTCAAGGAATAGGGGACTCTCGGCCAACTCCTACAGCACTTATAAGTTCTGGTATTTTGCCCAATGGAATCCATGCTAGAACTCCCGTAAAGCTTCATCCAAGTGCTGGTCTAGGAAAGGCAGGAGAGAAATTCTCCTGTTAAAGGCTGCAAATGCTCAGTTTTGGTTTGTGACACCTCTAGATTTATCAGAGGAGGTGGGAAGGGTCGGACAGACCTTCACTGTCTCACATAGAGCTCCACTGCACACAGAGTCTGAGCTTCCTTGGATTTCTATCCCCATAAACAGTGAACAGATGAGAAGACAGAGGGACCAAGAGATCAAAGTAATCTCCTCTAGCTCCAATTCTTGGAGGTTCTTCTGGATAACTCTGGGGGATCAGCCTGAGTGCTCTCACTTTCGGCTGGGAGTTGCAGCACATGCATGACTCATATGGCCACCAGCCCAAATGGCTGTACAGCAGTACAACTCATTTGGCCACCAGCCCAGGCCCTTGACCAAAAACCCCCATGCTAAAATGAGATTCAGAGCTGCTTCTTTGTGGCTCACAGACACCTCTGACTTCTCCTGCATATTACACCAGCTGTCCCCTAATGAACCTTTGTTAATACCAAAACCTTTGAGAGGGCTCGATCCAATGACCTTCACCACCACTGGCTTGAGGGATGAAGGTCAGTAACCAAACAGGGCAGCAGCCTCAGGAGATGGCAGGCCTAGGACAGGGGGTGGCCAGGGTATGTGGGGCTGCTGAGATCAGAGGGGATCTGGGAGGGGGCCCTGCTGTCCATTCCTCTCCCCCTTCCCATTTCAGCAAGATGAATTACTGGGGACAGCTGAGACGGGAGGCAAATGGCATCGTGCTGAAGCCGAACTAAGGCCTGTGACTGCACGCTGTGGGATCCTAAATATTTTGAGAGCAAAGGTCAGGAGAACAGGACACTCCTCAGCAATGATTTTCCTCCAGTCCCTGCAGCAGGGACATGGGGCTGCTATGCCTGGAATGGCCCCAGGCATCAGGCAGGGCCAGCAGTGGGGTACAGGGTGGTACCCATGGGCAGGCTCCTACTCTCCTGCAGGCTGCTACAATGACAGTATGTATTTGTGATGGAGCTGATGCCATGCAGCCTGGAGCCAGGAGGAAAGCACACACCAGGCTGGCCACATCCTCAGTGGGATGTTTTAGGAGCTGATCCACCTCTCTATGTCCTCCTGCTGGCCAGACCTCCACTGTTGCGAAAATAAATACTTAGGCATGGCAACATGGCTGACATTTGCTTTCTGAGAAAAGGGTCTGGGAAAAGGGGGCAGCTTTTTTGCAGGCTGATCACAGGGCAGGAGGCAACTTGTTCAGCATGGAATCATGACTCTGTGGCCATCCCTGCACACCTCATGGTCCTCATCCCCCTCCACGTGATGCTCCCATCAGCATGCTTTGCCCACCCCAAGGCAATGGTGGGGGTGATGCTGGCATCTCCTGTATGGCTGGGAGGTAAAGGGCACCTTGGGGTTGGCTGGTCTGAAGGAGTTGATGCTGAGAGACCCAGAGGCCTGCTGGAGAATGAGAGGGAGCAGTCAGTCTGCTCAGCACAGAAAGTCCTCTGCAGAATCGCAGCTGAGCTGTCAGGCAGATGAGCACAGCCAGCTGGTGGGGGGGATGCAGTCCTGTCACTCCTTATCTGCATGTACATCACCCCCAGGGCTCCTGTCCTCCCCCGGAGGCCACAGGAGATGTGTGAGCAAAGGATGCCAAAGTGTCCCAGAACAAACAGGCAGCTGTCAGATGTCCAATGGAGAAGCAGGAGAGTGCAGAGTACAGGGCAAGGTTTTGATGAGGACACTCACCCCAGAGTGATGTCACAGCTTTTCTCCCACATCCCAGCTCCCTGTTCCCAGCTGGGGATCTGGGAATCAGGTGAGGTGTGTGGGTGAAGTGCCAGCATTCCAGAATTTCTCCTGGAGCTGGGGACAGAGGGGAGGCCCCAGGAATGTGGTGCCCATCAGTTTTATTCTGGGAGAGATGCCAGAGCTGAGCACAGCTGTTGGAACATGGGCTTTCCTCACACACAAGCTGTGGTTCTGCTGCCCCAGCCCTCTGCCAGGGAAGATTTATTACATGTGCACCCCACACCTCGAAAGCTTCAACAAGGCGAAGCAAAAAAGCACCCTGCCACAGCCACATCCCAAATACCTGGGGCTGGACGGGCATTGCTGCCACATTCATTAGTAGCTGGGATAATCATGCTCAGTGTGAAAACAAGGCGGTTATTTTGTGATCTTAGCACCAACTAGATTAAGGCACCTGGAAACAACTACAACTCAAGAGATTGTACAATTTCAAGCTGCACTGAGTATAAACCAAATTGCATCAGCAATTGCACATCCTTCCGTGGATACTCACTGCAGCGATGATCAGGATTCTCGAGGGGTAACCGGGAAACTGAGGCACAGAGCAGCAAAGCATCACCTTGGGAACCAAGCACATCTCTGCAGCACCCATCCTGCCCCAGGTCCCGTCCCGTGAGCAAAGAGAGCACTAAGGACACTGCGCCGGCATGCAGGAGTGCAGGCAATCGCCTTGAAGCCGCTGGATGCCTCTCCCAGCTGCAGAACAAACTCAATAACAATAATAAGAGCAATGCCTTTTTAATAGGCACAGGGTGAAAAGAACCCAGAGAGTCAATATTTGTGAATGAAAACAAAATAAGCTGAGCTGTTAGCACGGAGGAATGCAAGGGAGGCCGAGATGTGGACTGGGTAATTATTATTTCATCTGCCAGAGCCGTGGTGCTGCCCGGCTGGAGGGCAGGGGAGAGGCAGATGGGGCAGAACAGAGCCAATGTTTTTGCTGCGGCAGCACCAGGCGTGCGGCTGGGGATGGCTCAGTGCTCTGCTCCATCCGCCGGAGGTTCATTGCTGCCCCGGCCCAAGTATTTAATGTCAGCAACTGGAATGTGCTTAACACAACATTTTACAAGGGAACATTAGTCAAGCATCTGCACTGACAGAGCTGGGCAGCGATAAGGAGCCGGCGCATGGGAGGCAGCTCTGGTTTCAGGAGGAGGGAGGGAGCATGGGGAAGGAGGGCTTTGCTGCGGGTGGACAGAGTTGGGGGTGGGCAGGGCAGAGCCCCACTTCTGTGCTGGTGTCACACGGGGTGTTATTACCAAGAAAAGGGTCCCCATTCTGCTCTCCACCTGGCTTCTGCATTCAATGTCTTGCACTGTGTGTGCTTAAAGCCCTCCTTCAAGCCCCGTGCATGGATTTGGGGGCCACGCATTCCCTGCCACGCTATGGCTCTTGTTTGTAGGACAGCCTTTAGCTGCCTGTGGGTATCAAGTGTTTTTCATTTTTGCTCCTTTCCAGACCTCCACCAGCACAACAGCATTGAAGCTGGCCATGGCACGGGAGCATCCACCCCTAAGCAAGGACAGAGAGCCATGCCACATCCTGGAAATATCCCAGCAATTGGTTTGGGAACCATTAGTCAGCTTCGCCTGCAACGTGCAAGTGGCACCGCCCTCCTTCTATTCCTGGAGCAATCCCTGTTCATTAGCCTTCTTGGCCCCCGGGCTTAAAAAAAATCCCCCAGTGTCATGACTCCTTAATAAGATGTCATCTTCAGTCATGACAAACACGAGCGCTTGGTAAATAATAGCCCTGCCACGCAATGTCACGCCTCCCCCATCTGCTGTGGCCATGGCTGTGCTCTCACCTGCTGCCCGCTGCTCCCAGCCAGGTCAGTGCCTGCTCGCTCTGGGG